TTTCCTTTCCTTTCCTTTCCTTTCCTTTCCTTTCCTTTCCTTTCCTTCCCTTCCCTTCCCTTCCCTTCCCTTCTTTCCTTCCCTCCTTTCCTTTCCTTTCCTTTCATTCTCTTTCCTTTCCTTTCCTTTCCTTTCCTTTCCTTTCCTTTCCTTCCTTCCTTTTCTTCTTTTTCCTTCCCTCTTCATTCTCCTTTCATCTTCCTTTCCCATCTTCCCTTCTTTTCCTTTGTCTTTCCTCTTTCCCTTTCTCCTTTCCTGTCCCTTCTTGCATACAAAAAGGGAAACATTTCTCCTTTTGTTTCATTTTTAGTTTGTTTTGCTAGCCCTCTACCAGCGAAAACCGAGCTGGGGTGGTGGTTTTCATTTGGTTCCCCGCGGCTCCATTTTCCCTGGCAGAGGCACCACGGGCTGGTCATTCATTGTTTCCTAGGTGGCCCTGCAGGCCGGATCTAAGCACTCCACGGGCCGGATCCTGATATAGCGGGAGGGCTTTAGAGATGTCATTCAACCCTTGGTGGGAAAAAAAATTACACCGCATGGTAAAGGACACATATGTTGAACAAAATAAGGCAGTTCATTTCTAAATTTTAAGGAATGCCACTTGATTTTAATGTCTCTTCTTCCAAAGAAAATTATTTGCTGCCTTTAAGGGTGTGTTTCTGAGGAGGCTTCTATGGAGAGAAAGGGGACATGGCAAAGGCTGCATATCCCAGTGCATAATTGAAGACATGCTTATTTTCTCACTGAGGGAAGATGCGTTGTTTTTTTTTCCCTAAGGCTTGCAGTGGGGTGCATTTGTATAAAAAGTCTTCCCTCTGCGAGAATTGCTTCCCAGGGCTGTCTTCAGAGTAAGATGCAGAAAATGTTCTGAAAAGCCATTTGATGCTACTATTGGAAGAAATATCCATCTGGGAGAAAGACACTGGAAACATAGAGGCTGACTGGAAAGATGGTTTACACATGGAGCTGAACACATGGAGTTGAGAGAAAGAGCGGTATTTATACCCTCTCTTGGGCCTTGCCCTTGAGCTTCCTGTTCCCGTGGCAAGGACATGTATTCTATTGGTTGCTGTCAGACTCCCAGGGGGCTATGCAGGGGTCATAGCTAACTTTTTATGTTGTCTGAATTAAATTATGGTTGAACCTTGCTGTGTGATGTAATGCCCCCAGGTGATTTCGTAATGCAGAGAGCCCTGCTGCTAGATGGGTAGCAGGCTAATCCTATTATGTCCCGAGGGTCATGTCTTAATCCATCCCCCTGGAGCTGAAGTTCTATTTGTCTTGTAGATAGACTGACCCAGTCCTGCTCAATGGGCACCAAATATCTGTTAGGAGCAGGGAGCTGCAGGGAGCTGTTCTTTGTCTTTAAAAACAGGTTTCTCCTTTTCTCACCCAGGGAAATAATCTTCTGCCTTTTTAATATTTCCCATAATATTTCATTCTTCTAGGAGAGGGGTGGATGCCAGCTTTCTACTGACCTTAATATATATTCGCACGTGTTAGAAAATTCTACAGAGGAATCCTGCAGACAGATCAAAGTAGCAGCACAGGGAGAAATGGGATGGAACAGCAGTTGGGAAATGGTGGCCCACCAGAGCTTTCTGGTCTCTTAACTCACAACCACCCAGCCACATGGAGGGTAGTAATAGAGAGGTGCAGCTTAGCTGACTTTGGACCAAAACTTCCCCATGTCATGTCCAAAAGCAAGATGCTGATTGAGCTGGGAGGTAAGCTTGAGCAGTTTACTAGCAACTGAGCTCCTTTCTGCATTGAAATTTTTTCAGACCAGGAATTTTGATTGGAGAAAGCTCCAGCTCACAAAGTCCTTAAAAACAAAAATCTGCGGCAGCTGCCAAAAAAAGCCAATGCAGTCCTAGGTTGCATCACAAGAAATATAGTATCAAGATCATGTGAAGTGTCAGCATGGCTTTATACTGCCTTGGTAAGACCACACTTGGAATATTGCTCCCAGTTTGGGTCACACACTACAAAATAAGATGTTGAGACTCTAGAAAGTGTTCAGAGGAGAACAGCAAAGATGATTAGGAGCAGTGGTGGGATTCAGTTATTTTTTATTATGGGTTCTGTGGGCGTGGCTTGGTGGGCGCGGCAGGGAAAGGATACTGCAAAATCCCCATTCCCTTCCCACCCCACTAACCTGCTTTTCAGCTCCGTTCTCCTGTGTAGGGCAACCAAAGAAGACCCAGCCGATCAGATGGGACTCAGTGGGAGGCAGGGAATAGATGGGGGCAGGGCCAGTCAGAGGCGGTATTTGCCGGTTCTCCAAACTACTCAAAATTCCCGCTACCGGTTCTCCAGAACTGGTCAGAACCTACTGAATGTCACCTCTGATTAGGAGACTGGAGGCTAGAGTATATGATGAATGGTTGCAGGAACTAGGTAGGTGTAGTCTAATTGAAGAGAAGGATTAGGGATGACATGATTGCTGTCTTTCATTATTTGAAGGGTTGTCACAGAGAAGAGGGGGTTGACCCATTCTTCAAGGCACCTGAAGGCAGGACAGGAAGTAATGGATGGAAACTTGTCAAAGAAATATCTGTTGTGGTTAGCCGGCAGCAGGTGTGGACAGCTGAGGAGAGCGAGGACTCAGATGAGAGGCCAGGACCATTAGGGAGTGGACTGCTGCCTTCGGAGATTGTGGGGGCTGGCAGCAGCGATGAGAAGGTTCCCGAGGAGCCTGTGCCAAGTGTGTGTATGCGCAGGGTTGCTCGCAGGAAAGAGCAGTTGTAGCAGCACGGGCGACTTGGGAGTAAGGCTGCAAGATAATGGGCCCTCCTTCAAGAAGATAAAAGCCAGCTGTGAAACTAAGCTTCTTTGCAGGAAGCAAAGATGTTTTGAAACTCAGCCTCGTGGACATTCCAGTATCTTAAGTTGGTATTTCAAGACTGCTGTGTTGTGAAATATTTCTTATCTGTGATTCTTGGCAGCCTCACACAGTTTTGGCGAAGTTTGTGCTTATCAAAGTTAATTAGTTTGTAGCAGCCTTTTAACCAGGGATTCGTAAGACTCATTAAAAGGTTTCTGTTCCCTTTGGTTCGTGTTTGTTTTTTTGGAAAACGGTTTGGGTCAGAACAATATCCAAGCTAGAACTAAGGAGAATTTTTCTGTCAGTCAGAAAAATTAACCAGCGGAACAGCTTACCTCCAGAAGTGGACACTGTATCACTAGAGGTTTTTAAAGAAGAGTTTGGGCAGCCATTTGTCCAGAATGGTATAGGGTCTCCTGCTAGAGCAAAAAGTTGGGATAGAAGATCTCCACGATCCCTTCCCTCTCTGTTAGTCTGTATTCCTATCAGCCATTAGGCCCTCTGACTCAGAGGTCCCCAGCACCCAGTCTGTGGACTGGCACCAGTTCTCAGCATGCCAGAAACTGGGCTGAGCAAACAAGTGAAGTCCCATCCATGGAATGCAGGCAGCACATGAAACCACACTACCTCCGATCCACGGGAAAAAAGAGTATTTCCATGGAACCAATCCCTGGACCCCTAAAGGTTGGGGGTCCACTATTCTAACTATTCTATTTGGAAAGAGGCATACAATAGCAATAGACTTATATACCGCTTCACAGGGCTTTACAGCCCTCTCTAAGCAGTTTACAGAGTCATCCTATTGCTGTCATGCCCCTGGTGGAGACTGACTCTGAGGGAGAGGAGGAACAGCCAACAGGGAGTGGGAGTGTGGCTCCAGAGGTGGTGGAGGAGGCTGGGGAAGGGCACAGGCCGGCTGGGCAGTCAGAGGAGGACCCAGGCCCATCCGCTCTCCATCCTAGGCATGCAGGGAGGAGAGGATCGGGGTAAAACGTGGTCTACTTGGGAGGAGAGGGCCATGATCCTCTTCATGGGTTGCAGGAGTGAAATCTGCATAAAAGGTTGTACCTGCGTGCCAACAGACACTGGAGACACATTAGTGTTTTATTCCTAAAGAAGGTTTATCTTGGTTGGCGCTCTTCCAACAGACTTTCCCTGGTTATCTTCCCGAAGTTGGCAATTAACTATCCTGGTCTGTTGAGGAACTTTATTCAGTGTGGTTTGTTTTTGGCTTTTGCTTCGTTATTGGCTCTTTGAATGTGAACTGGGTTTCTTGCCTTTGAGATGTTATTTTGAAAATACTTTACTCCTCCACTGTGGACAATTCAACAGTGAAGCCAAGTTGAAGGCATTAAAGGACTTTTATTTACGTTTTGGTTTTTGTTAAATTTCTGAGATACTCTGGGTCATCATAATTGCCCCCAACAATCGGAGTCCTCATTTTACCCACTTTGGAAGGACAGAAGACTGAGTCAACCTTGAGCCCGGTGAGATCTGAACTGCCAAATTGCAGGCAGCCAACACTCAGCAGAAGTAGCCGGCAGTACCTTATTCTAACCAGTGAGCCACCGCAGTTCTATGGAGTTCTATGGAGTGTACCTTACCTGTGTGCAGCAAAAAAAAAGAGAAGGGTATGTAACAAATAAGTAGTGTCCTCTGAAGATCATCTTTTAACTTCCTCTTTATAGGTACATGCATGGGAAGTTCAACCAGGCACATTGTCACCTTTGATGGACTGGATTTTAAGCTGACAGGCAACTGCTCCTACACCTTGTTTGAAGACAAAGAAGAAGATGTTGAAGTGATTCTTCATAATGGCGCATGCAGGTCGGCCCCCAAACTCAACTGCATGAACGCCCTTGAGGTCACATACCAGGGCTTCTCTGTGCAGCTCTGTGACAACATGACGGTAAGAGACCAATGTGAGAAAAAAAGAAACGAGAGTAGGTCAAGGGGGCTCCTGTTTATTTTGATTTAATTATGATGGATCCATGAGAGATGACTCAAAAAGCACAATAGAATTGCTAAAATGCCCCGTAGACTTCATTTCAAGGCAAATAATTGAGAGCCAGTTTGGTCTTGTGGTGACAGACACCAGGCTAGAAACCAGGAGACTGTGAGTTCAAGTCCCTCTTTACCTATTAAAGCCAGCTTAGTAACTTGGGGTCGATCACCAGGAGACTGAGAGTTCTAGTCCCACCTTAGCCAGGAAAGCCAGCTGGGGTGACTGTGGGCTAGTCTCTCTTTCTCTGCCCCTCTCTCCCTCTCTGTCTCTCCCTCTCCCCAACCCACCTCACAGGGCTTTTGTTGTGGGGAAAATAGAAGGAGGAAAGTCCCAATGGTGCTTTTTCAAAAGGCAACTGGACTACCTTGTTTTCCTGTGAAGACGTTTCGCTTCTCATCCAAGAAGCTTCTTCAGCTCTGACTGGTTGGTGGGGAATGGAAGGAGGAGTGCAAATGGGTGTGGAGCCTTCTTGGAACTGCTGAAAGGACTGTATTGTGGAGCTGTGCTTTCTGCAGGATGTTTTCTGCAGTGAAGGGACACAGGTGACGCTGAGGACATAGACCAACCTCCAAATGGCCTCAACAACTCTCTAAAAGGATGCAAATGACCAGCTATCTGCAAGAAATAGAAATCCTTCCGTTCCCAACCAACCAGTCAGAACTGAAGAAGCTTCTTGGATGAGAAGCAAAGCATCTTCAAAGAAAAATAAAGTCCAGTTGCCTCTTGAAAAAACACATTTGTGACAATCATGTCCCAGAGAGCTGAGGATCTCCATAGACAGAGGGAGGAAAGACTATTAGCTACATTCACTGCCTTGAGTTATTTAAACAAATATAAATTTGAATATGTTATTGTTCCATTATTTATACAAATGTATATATGTATGTTATTTATACTGTACAAATATAAATACAAAATTTATACAAAGGCGGGATAAAAATCAAACCAATCAATAAAATAAGGGAATTGAAGCCAGTGAAATGGAAGGAAATAGAAGTCAAACAGGGATGTCTCACTTGAATGCCTGCTCACATTTACAGCCTGTGCATTTCATGAGCTCACAGTGTCTCATCAGAATCCACGAGGTCAGACAGACAAGATTTATTCTTGATAGTAGGGGAGACAGTATAGCAGTCCTCCAATATTTGAGGGGCTGCCACAGAGAGGAGGGGGTTCAAGCTATTTTCCAAAGCATCCAAAGACCAGACAAGGAAGAATGGATGGAAATGGGTCAAAGAGAGATTCAACCTGGAAACAAGGAGAAATTTTCTGACAGCGAGAACAATAAATCCATGGAACAAAAGTTGCCTTCAGAAGTTGTGGGAGCTTCATCACTGGAAGCTTTCAAGAAGAGACTGGATTTCCATCTGTCAGAAATGGTATAGGACAAGGGTCTTCAAACTTGGCAAGTTTAAGACTTGTGGACTTCAACTCCCATAATTCCTGAGCTAACATGACCGGAGGAGGAATTCTGGGAGTTGAAGTCCACAAGTCTTAAAGCTGTCAAGTTCGAAGACCCCTGGTATAGGATCTCCTGCTTGAGTGGGAGATTGGACTAGATGACCTGCAAGGTCCCTTCCAACTCTGTTGATCTGTTTAAACTTCAGGTGAACAGTTTCCCCAGATTCTCCCTCTACTTCCTTTTAGATCAGAAAAAAGGTCTTTCATTCGTTCAGAGCAGTACAGACTGATTTAAAGAGAGACCGTGTTCCAAAAAGGCCCCAACCTCATTTGCAATAATCGGTCTTTATGAGCAAGAGCAAACCTCTTTCCCTATAAAAGGAATAGACTGTCAGGCTATGCTCTGGGATTGGCCAAACCCCAAATTTCAGGACAAAACAGGGTAATTCGGAACAGATTGCCATTTAATTGTGGTGGGTTGCACTAAGACGGCAGTAGCTGCTCCAGAAGTCTCGTACGCTGCAAACGTGGCACCACAACTATGCCAGAAATTATTATTTCCCCCCTCTTCTTTGGGGCTTCATGTCACCTGCCATCTTTCTGGTGATTGGGGAAACAAGTTTTGCTTCCCACTCAAGATGGCTGTCCTTCCATCCAAGCATCCTGTCATGCCCCTATTGGAGTCTGACTCTGAGGGAGAGATGGAACAGCTGACAGGGAGTGTGAGTGTGGCTCTGGTGGTTGTGGAGGAAACTGGGGAAGGGCACAGGCCATATGGGCATTCAGTGGAAGACCCAGGCCCATCCCCTCTTCATCCTAGGGCATGGAGGGAAGAGCAGATAAGGGAGAAACGTGAGTGACGTGGTCTATGGGGGAGGAAGGGGCCCTGATCCCCTTCATGGGCTACAGCTGGGAAGACTGGTTAAAAGGACAAACTGCACATGGCAAAATTGCTGGAAGCAAAGCGTGCATTATTCTTGTCGGAGCTTATCTGTGTTTTGGCTTCCTCCCAACTGTGGTGGCTGTGTTATCTGGTAGAAGTCTGCAATTAATCATCTTTGCCTGACACAGTAATTCCTTCAGTGTGGTTTGTGTTGGGTTTTTTATTTCACATTAACTTTACTTTGGTTGTGGACTGCATTTACTCCCTCCGTAAACTGTTTTCTTTAAGAGTTTGATATCCAGCTGAGGATAATTGGACATTGGGGCCAAGTTGGAGGCATTAAAGGGACTATTTTGGTGACTTAGTTATTTTTGTGTCACACCCCGCGTCATCACACCTCGTCTTGTATGCAGCTAGTCCTCAACGTAACAAGCATTCGATTAGGGAACCATTCAAAGTTGCAATGGTACAAAAAAATAGTGACTTAGGACTGTTTTTCACACTTGCAACCAAGTCACCTGAGTGCAGGGATGCCTCAAAAGTCGTTAAGTGTGAAAACAGCTGCAGCTCACTTTTCTCAGGGATGGTGTAACTTTGAATGGTTGCTGAATGAACTGCTGTAAGTCAAGGACAACCTGTATTTTGCTTTCAACCTCCTGGTGGATTTTAGCTTTCCCTCCCAATCCTCGTTGCTTCCAAGTTGATGTGCTTGACCTCTGTGGTTTAATTCAGAAGTTGTGGGAGCTTCATCACTGGAGGCTTTCAAGAAGAGACTTGTGTGGGGATTTGTGGCCCACCAGTGGATCTGGCAACAGATTTGGACAGTGAGGAGGTTGGGGAGGAACATGGGCCAGTCCTGGAGTCTGGGGAAGGCTCTGATGAGGGCTCTGCGTCGGAGGCAGAGATGGGGCCAGGGCCGTCCAACAGTTATCAGCTGCCTTTGGAGTCGGAGATCAGTGGGGAAGAAGAACAGCTCGAGCCTGTTTCCAGTTGCACATGCGCAGAGCTGCCAGAAGAAGGGAACAGCTAAGGAACAAGGGTCGACTTGGAAATAAAGCCACAGGTGGATGGTGAATGGCCCCTCCCAGAGGGAATAAAAGAGGAGCGAAAGGGGAGTGGGGTTTTGCAGGAGACAGTTCATTTTGGTGAAGATCTGTTCCTGCATTCTTGCCAAGTATTGTCTGCTACAGTGTGGTGTCTGAAAGATATCAGCCTGGCAACTCTCCAAGCCCAATAAAGGTCAGGGAAATACCTTGAAAGATTGTTAGCCGGAAATTTGCTGGAAAGGAATTCACTGTAAACTAAATAAAAGAGGTTTATCAGGACAAAAAGTCGGCTTCGTGCTGTTGGTGAAGCCTAGGTCAGAACAGGTCTCCTGCTTGGGCAGAGGGGCTTGACTAGATGACCCACAAGGCCCTTCCAACTCTGCTAATCTAACCTAATTCTTCTTTAACCCATGTTCCAAAACAGGTTGCTGTGAATGGCCTGGCAGTTATACCTCCTTATAATAATGGTCAATTGGAAGTCAACATCTATGGGACCATAATACACGAAGTCAAATTTTTGCAACAGAACCACATGCTTGCCTTCACTCCAAGCAACAATGAGTTCACCTTACAACTTAGCCCGAAGAGCTTTGCCTCAAAAATGTATGGCCTTTGTGGTACGTTCGAAAAATCCCTCCCCGAGTGCCATTAGCGATCGTTTAACAACGACCGAAGCCTTTCGAATGTTAATATCTCGACAGTAAATCTTTGGTTTAACGGATCTCTCTTCAATGCATTCAGTCTCTACGGGGCCTTGTGGTAAGACCATACTTGGAATACTGCATCCACTTTTGGTCGCCACAATATTCCAAATAATGTTGAGACTCTGGAAAGAGTGCAGAGGAGAGCAACTAAGATGATTAAGGGACTGGAGGCTAAAACATATGAAGAACGATTGCAGGAACTGAGTATGTCTAGTTTAATGAAAAGAAGGACCAGGGGAGACATGATAGTATTGTTCCAATATCTGAGGGTCTGCCCCAAAGAAGTCCAGATATTCTCCAAAGCACCTGGGGGCAGGACAAGAAGCAATGGGTGGAAACTCATCAAGGGGAAAAGCAACTTAGAACTAAGGAGAAATTTCCTGACAGAACAATTAAGCAGTGGAACAACTTGCCTCCAGAAGTTGTGAATGCTCCAACGCTGGAGGTTTTTAAGAAGAGATTGGACAGCCATTGGTCCAGAATGGTATAGGGTCTCCTGTTCGTGCAGGGAGCTGGACTAGAAGACCTCCAAGGTCCCTTCCAGCTCTGTTATTCTTCATTTTACAAATGCGTAAAATTCCATTTGGAATTCATAGAAATTCAGCTGAAGCCACCCTTTCCCTTATTAATCTGTGAGTTCCTTGTATTCCTCAGTATAACAAGCTGGTAAGTTGAAAAGAAATGAATGCAGGTAGTCCTTGACTTACAATCATTCATTTAGTGACCGTAGTTACAGTGGCACACAAACAAGTGTCTTATGACCGTTTTTCACACTTATGACGTTTACAGCATCCTCATGGTAACATGATCAAATTTTGGATGCTTGGCAACTGGCATGTATATATGACAGCTGCACTGTCCTGGGGTCACTTGATCTTCTTTTGCAACTTTCACACAAGCCAAATCAAAGGGGAATCCAGATTCACTTAACAACCAGGTTACTAACCCAGCATTGCAGTGATTTACTTAATAACTGTGGCAAGAGTGGTTGTAAAATGAGGCAAAACTCACTTAACTCACTTAGCAAAGGAAATTTTGGGCTCCATTGTTGAGGACTACCTGTAAAAGTTCACATTGGCTTTATTGTGAAATGCCAACATGAAAAACTCTACACAAAAATATTTTATTATTGTTATTGAGTGGGAGATCTATTGGGTCCAGGAAAGAGGGTAACAAGTCGAGTAGATTAGCAAACACTCTGAGTGGATTTATTTTATGCCCCATAAGCAGAACATCTTTTGTTCCAAAGGTGTTTTTCCAAGAAGCAATTGGACTTCCTGGGTTCGTTTTTTTTTAAGACCTTTCGCTTCTCATCCAAGAAGCTTCTTCAGCTCCGACTGGTTGGTGGGGTATGGAAGGATTGATACTCCTTGCAGACAGCTGGTCATTTGCATCTTCTTAGAGAGTCGTTGAGGCCACTTGGAGGTTTATCGGAGTCCCCAGGGTCACCTGAGTGGTGCAAATGGGTGTGGAGCCTTTTTTGGAATTGCTGAAAGGACTATATTGTAGACTGGAGATAGAGGATGTCATATTCCTCCTCCTCTGTTGAGGGAGGGCTGTTCGGTTTTGACATAGATGGCCTCTTTGACCCCTCTTTCCAACCAGTGATCCTCTCTTTCCAAAATCTGGACTTTGCTGTCTGCAGGGGGCCTCAATGTCTCTCTAAAAGAATGCAAATGACCAGCTGTCTACAAGGAATATAAATCCTTCCATTCTCCATCATCCAACAAGAGCTGAAAAAGCTTCTTGGATGAGAAGCAAAACATCTTCAAAGAAGAAACAGAAAGTCCAGTTGCACCTTTGGCACAACCCTGGCCTGGATGACTGGGAATCCCCATAGACAGAATGTGTTTTTGTTTAAGTACCAAAGATCTACGCCAGGGGGATCAAACTCAAGGCCCACAGGCCAGCCTGCAAAGTGTTTAGATCTGGCCTATGGGGCCACCCTAAAAACAGCAAAGGAGGGCCCCACAGTGCCTCTGCCAGCAAAAATGGAGCGCCCCCTCCCCAGCTGCGTTTTCATTGGCAGAGGGCTATCAAAACAAACTAAAAACAAAAGGAGAAATGTTTCTCCTTTTGCATTTGGGCAGGCGAGAAGGGGCAGGAATGGAGAAAAGGAAAGAGGAAAGACAAAGACAAAGAAGGGAAGATGAGAAGAGAGCAAGGGAGGAAAAAGAAGGGAAGAGGGGAAGGAAGAAGCAAGGAAAAGGAAGAAGGAAGGAAAAAGAAGAAAAGGAAGGAAGGAAGGAGATTATAATGAGAGTGAGAGAGAGTCCAAGGAAAGTCCTACCTTAGCTCTTGGCCACCACAGGTGCCCCCAGCACGAGTGATGTTGAGCTGGCCATGCCCACTCTGGCGATGTCCACCCTGGCTACACCCTTCCCAGCCACTCCCATCCCAGCTCCACAAGGTCGAACACAACCCTGATGCTTCCCTCAATGAAATCGAGTTTTTGACACCCTTAATCTTTGCAATCGCTTAATTTCTTTCCTCTGTGTTTCCTTTAGGGGTGTGTGACCAAAACAGGGAGAACGACCTGCTCTTACAGAATGACTCCATTACTCGTGACGTCACTGGTTTCATCCAAGACTGGACCATTCAGCAACCGGGAAGGGTTTGCAAGGAGAGAAGGCCCGAGGTTTGCGTCGAGCACGCAACCAGGCACTGCAGCATCCTGCTTTCCACTCCTTTTTACGAGTGCCATCAGGTCATCCCTCCCAACATATTCTACGCAACGTGCGAAGAGAACAATTGCGTTGGGGAGGAAGTGTGTGAGATTATAGCCTCCTACGCCCATCTTTGCAAAGTGCACGGGGTTTGTGTGGACTGGAGAACGCCGGATTTCTGC